CCCGCCCGGGGGCGTCTCGGGTGGACGTGGGGCCGGGGAGCCCCGGCAGGGACGGCGGGGGCTGGCGACTGGCGCCCCGGACGCTGGTTACATCCCCTCGGAGGGGCTTCCGAGGTGAAAGCTTAGGATCAGTGGAACCGCGCCGAAGTGAAAGAGGGGAGAGTGGGTGTAGAGCCCGCGCAGCGGCGGGAATCTTGAAGTCCAAGCGGGGATTGGTCAGCCCGCAGGAAGAGCGAGCTCGCGCCCCAGCAGCGGGAGTCTCCCGGGAAACGCGCCCCGGCGGCGTGGGAGAGACCCCGGCGCAGCCGGGTCGGGAGGACCAGCGCGGAAGCCCGGGAGCCGGCGGCGCGCGCCGGGACGCGCCCCGGGAGCCCCAGCCGCCAGTTCCCACGCTTAGGGCTAGCGAGTTAGGGGCCCGTGGGATGGGATCCCCTCCCAAGGTGTTCCCTACCCCCACAGCCCCCACGCCGCCGGTGAGCGAGGGAACGGTCCAGCGGCAAGGTCCTGGCTCTCGCAACCGCCCCAGCGCTGACCTGCTCAGGACCCAGCTGCTTCCGCCCAAGGTGCGGCAGGGTAGGAGCGAAACTGGCTGAGTCGGGGGGAAGTTGGCCGCGGAAGCAACGCGCTTGGAGCTGGAGCCCGCAATTGGCTACACGGTGGAAACGTGCTGCTTGGGTCCCTGGTGAACCTTGCGAGAATTTGAAGCCTTCTGCATCCGAGATGACCCCAACTCTTTTGCACCAGAGCTGAAGCTGGCTGAGTAGGACCAGAGGAGACGGAAAGACCTGAGCCCGAGACACCACTTTTTTCTCTATCAGGACAGTCCCCTAGCTCCAGGACTTTCGAGAGCAGAATCCTTTCTGTTCTGTTTCCCTCTTAAGGAGTCTGCCACCCTTGGCTCGCCCGGGGATTGGTAGATGAGCTTTCCAGAAGCGCTGTGCAAGGCGACAGTCCCGTGCAGACCCACTTTGGGACAGGTACCGTTTCCAGAGCTGCGTTCTGCTCTCAGTTCTTGTTTTTCCCTCCACCTTTTTTTAATATATGAAAATTTAAGATTCTTCTTTCCCAAACCATATCTCTAGCATATTAACCTTGACTGTTTCGACCTGCATTTTGAAAAATCAGAATGTTCATGTCTTTGCAAAATACACAAACATTAGTTGGGTTGCAAAGCCCAAAGGAATATACTTTGGGTTACATTCAGTTGTGTTCTTGATGTGTGGAAACACCTAATCATGGAGTTCTTGACTTCTCTTCCTTGGATTTTCAATGCTACTTAACTGGATATGTTCCTTCGAGGTACTGCATTCTTTTATGTGACAGGTAACAGTATTTACAAGCAAGGGGCGAATGAAGTTGTTGGTTTTTTCTGTGCAAGTCAAGTTCAGTGACAGGAAGACCCTATTTTTTTTCTGAATAACTAAAGAAGATCCCAGGGAGACACTGTACTTTAACATCTTTCAAGTTTTGAAAGAGTAGATTTCTTTACTTCAGGATCATTATTTTCTATTTTTCCTGTTGGCATAAACACAATTGTTAGTGACTACAGTCCCTAAAAGAAACTGCAGTCTAATAGTTGAAATATTTAATCTGGGGTTTCTGATCTTCACTATGAACCTTTTTTCCAACTGCAGTTTAGTAAGTCTTGCTTTTCAGGAAGGCTAGAGAGAGTAGAATATCTGCGGAAGTGGTAAGTAGATAACAAGACCAGTTATCCTACTTGGTAGCTCAAGCTTAATCTTGAGACTGAATTAACTCTTAACTAGGGCTCGTAGGACATAGGGATGCGGGTGTATAAGAAAAATTAAATACAATAAAGTTTTCAGAAATTCCCGAGCTTGACAAGTTTTGTGAATGAACCCTCTGCCTCGAAGCAAAATGGTCTAAGTTGAGAAAATAAATGTCAGAAAATTCTGTTAATCTAAATTCTTAAGTACTTTTAAATTCATTTTTCAAATTCTGCATTTAGTAGCTTTCCTTCCTTCTAATTATTCTTAAAGTATTTGAAGAAACCACTACCATCTGACCTTCTGGTTTTTAAACATTAACTTTTATTTCCTATCTTTAGCTTGCTTTTCTTGTGAACCCTATGATTATCTTCATGTTTTTCTTGTTGATAATCAAACTTATCAAGAGATTTCACAATTTCTATTTTATTCTTAATGTAATACTGTTTCTGTTACTTTTGAGGTGAGGCTGACCTATCACATTCCCAAGGCTGGCTATGTCAGCCCCTCAGTTTTGAAAACAGGTCACCATTGACACTCAAAATAGTAATAACCCCAGGGACCTCAAAGAAGGTAAGCTCTGAGGTCACTTCATAAGATCTTGTTTCCTGTGGAGGGTTAGCAGCAGCACAGAAAAAGAAGCTAGACCTTTCTTTGCATAGTTTACTACCTATTAAAATTGAGATTAAAAATTTAATACTCAGAATGATACTAATGTATTTGATTACATCATTGTCTGCGGCAATATTACCAGCAGAATCATGGTCACATCATGAAGAAGTTCTGTTTAGAACTAAACAAGAACATTAAGCAACCACTGTTATTTGTAATTCCTTTCCAGAAGTACTGTGACTAATGTTAAAGTTGCAATGTCATATGTATACTTTTAATAAAAGATTCTAAAAAGAACTATCAGAAGAAGGGTTTTGATATTCTAGGAATAGAAGGGAATTTAAAAAAAATTAGGAAATGTTCATAAACTTTCAAAAATTGCCACACTGAAGTTTTTCAATAACTGCATATTTTATAATATATAATAAAAATACATGGTTGTGAAAAACAGTAGGGTATCATCAACTCATCTCACTAAAATTCATATTTTGGGTAGGTTTTGATGTTTGCAAATAGAATTAGATAAGAATAACCATGAGAGTATAAATAATCCAACAACATACATTTTTCCCCTTTCTGTTATAACTCATATATACTTGTAGATATTGTCATAGAAAAACTTAAGTTTTCTCTCAATTTGGTCTGAACATTAAAATACTTAGTTGTACTAAAGCATTTCTAAGTTGCTGATATAAAGAAGGTAGTTCTTATCATACTTCATTGTGAATGTAAATATTACTCTTTGAGAATTTAAATTTCAAAATAAATTTTTTATTTGGTCATTTTTATTGCTTTCCATCCATAAAATTTAGTTAGTACATTGAGGGTATACTTATTATTATTGAGACTACGGCTTAGCATTACTAGATACTTATATTAGAGCAGGAAGGAAGCTTAAATATCACCTAGTTCAGTTTTTTTTTTAAAGACTTATTTATGCATACAGAACTGGGGTACAGGCTAGAGGTGCAGGGGTGGTGAGAGGATTCACCAGAGACAGAGAGCAGAAGAGGCAAATCAATGAAGTACACTGTTGAGGGGAGCAGCAGGGCAGGCCAGGAGAGGTGTGCCTTGCCATGTGGATCTCCTGCTGGGACTGGGATGGAACTTGCACTGAAGAGGCTGTGGCTAGCTTGCAGTGCTGCATTTTGTGCCACCAAGGAGGGCCCACCTCTAAGAAATTTCTATAGTTAAATTAGTGTAGGTAATACAGATAGATTTAAAGATGTGCTTATATACATAAATTCAAGTATAGTTAGGCTTGATCAAATTCCATATTGTGAATCCTGGTTATGGAGGGGATGATGAGTAAGGATGATGATGGAGCCAATGATTTAATTCGGTACTTCTTTAATTTCATGCAAACCCACATTGAAAATAACTTGTATCAGACTCATAGCAAATAGTACTGGTTTATGATGGAGGAGATGAAGTATTTAGGTTTCAGATATTAAAAATTCAAGCTTGGTTCAAAGAAGAGAAAAACAAGTGAACACAGGAACAACTAGATGTTGATAGAAGTCATTAACTCGTTCTAGAGAGAAGAAAAGCTTATCTTCTTCATAATGCAGGACTTTGTTATCATTCAAGGCTTTCTTGAATATTTAAAGTGATGTGGCATTCATTAACTGTTAACCTTTTGATTTTAGATCTTTAAAAAATATACATGTAGTTCTTCCTTGTAAATTGAAACCTGCCTCACTATAATACTCATATAAGGGGCTTTATTCTGCCCTCTGGTGTTACGTAGTTTCAAGATTATTCTGCCTTACAAACAACTCCACTAAGATGTGGAAGACAACTGTCATTTCCCCTGTTTTTCCTTCTAGTGCCAATTTTCCAGTTCCTATAGTATTCTCTTTTGATATAGTTTAGAAAGCAAAGCTGACATCCTTACCCCAAAATACTAACAGAAATAGTATTTCAAAGTTGGAAAGGATACCCAGTTTTAATATTCCCTAAATCAAGAGTCCACATCTTTCTCATTTCTAGCCAACCTGCAAACACTTCTGGGATGAGGGATTTTGCTCTAAATAATTAATGTCATTGTAACTAAGAAGCTAGGAAAATTATTTTGGTTCTTCTTTTTAGACAGAATTTCATTTTCAAATAATGATGTGCTAGTCAGCTAATTTAATATTCAAG